ATGTGGCTCCATCTAGGGGAGAATTAATGTTTTATTTATTTAAAAAACTGAATATCAGTTAATTATTATTATCTAATTCAACAATTAAAAGAGAATTATAATAATTGCGATGTAAAATTATAAGAATATACAGAAGAAAGTAAAAAATGAGGATATATGGGAAAAATTAGTTCGGATCCCGCCGCTAGATGGCGATACCGTTTTTGGGTCCATTAACTGCCGTTCGTGCTTTTCTATATAGCATAATATGAATGGAATGAACTTAATAAGTAATAAACTATAATTTCTAATAATTATGGACATTATGGTACAGCTCATTCCTTTCGGGGAATAATCCATCCCATTCAATAACCGAGCAATCTAATAAACATTGCAATTAAATCACAGTACGGTGCTTTTATTCGTCGTTTATTATTTAAATAAAATTTTGCCTGCCCCTAAAATGCAACTATTCATTTATTCACTCGAAATGTGAACCCTAATTAGAAAGGTTTGATATCTACCTGCGCCCAGACTTTGCCAGTAATCAATTATGTTTATAATTTATCCTTCTTACTTTATCCTTCACTACAGACAAACTTACAAAGCTACAAAATAAATATCGCGAAATGTTCGAATAGTAAAGTTACTGTACTTCGGTTTCATTAATCGATTACTCAAAGTCACGTAGCAACGTGATTCCAAAGCGACCAAGGGTTGTTTTCTCTGTACAAATAACGACTTGCTAGGCACACCGCGTATTAATTACAATTTTTCATAAGATAATGCCGGGAATTGCAAGTGCAACGGGCCTAATGGGAGCGCGTATACGACCAGTTTGTCGTCCTAAAACAAAGGTATTACTCATACGAAATTTTTAACAAAGTGCATAATCTCCTATAGACAGGGCCGACGTGACCTTTTGCGGGGCCGGGTTCCACCGAACGCGCTGAACCTGCCTTGCGCCGGCCCTGAGCAAGTCTTTATACCAGTACGAATCGAAAAGTCCTTTACAATTTTGCAATCTGAGGCTTTGTTGTCGAGATATAAGCGTTGAAATTTACAGTCGCGGACGCACATGGACGGCACTCACACGCGAGAAAGAAGCACCGACACACACTCGCAATCAACTGCGAATCAGCTGGTCGGCTGAATGACGCTAGCGAGCGTATATCGGTGCGTCTTTCTCGCGTGTGAGCGCCGTCCATGTGCGACCGCGTCGGAAGTTACAACTGTAAATTTCAATCACTTATATCTCAACAACGAAGCCTCAGATCGCAAAATCGTTAAAGACTTTTCGATTCGTACAGATATGTAGACTTGATCCTGAAATAAATGTCCTAGATATTTGTTAACACCCTGTATAAACTCCAACGGTTCTCCAACTCAAACATCTCGCCTCCTGTCGCGGACGAAAAAGTAGTCCGGATCCGCTCTCTCTAACGCGACACAACACAAAGAAATCCCAACTCGTGGGACCTACCTGTTTGTATTTGTGGGCCACAGGGTCCAAAATCTCGGTAGTGTTTCGCTGTGGAGGGAACAGCTAACTTTCCAGGGGCACAACACACACGCGCGATCGCGGAACTACCGAAAGATTTTTTTTTTTTCGTTAAACGGAAAAAAAAGGGACGCTCGCGCGGTACGGTGCGTCTCCTTCCGCGTCTTACCGTCGATTAACTCGAATTTCGCCCAAATCACACCCCTCACGAGGCCCGCACGTGGCTCTCACCACTCCAGGAGCTGTAGTGGGGGTTCATTCGATGGGCCACCACCACTATCCACGCCGCAGCTTCGGGCCGGGAGGGGGGGGGGTGGGGGGTGGCAGGAGAGGGTGACAAGTCCTCTCGGTGATGGGAGGACCCCCGTACCGGGGTCCTTGGGTGGGGGGCACCGAGACCGGCGACTGGCGCGCCCGCACGGGTCCGCAGTGCGGGTTGCGAGGACTAAAGGGGCGCACGGAAGGGGGGTCCCTACTCTAAATGCGCCGCGGACCACGCAACCCGCCATGCTCGTTCTCGTGGAGGGCGTCAAGACCTTCCGGCGTCAGTTATAATAAATCTTATTTTTATGCATACTCTTATAGATTACTCGCAATTTGCTTGCAACGTCTTTTCGATAAATTACATTTTATTTAACAAATTATAATTGCATTGTCAGGAACGAAGGCAAACATTTTTTTAAATGAAATTTTCCTTCCGTTTACTTATTCTATTCTTTTTTTTTTTTATCACATCGAATGAGATCAGTAATACCTTTGTTCACTATTTTAACTTTGTTACGAAAATTTACATAATTTATTTAATATTTTCGATGCTCCGTCGCTGTCGTACAATACTTAATGAATAAATGCGGGATATCGAAAGAGTTTAACCTACGCAAGTCAAGAAATTGGTTTATAGATGAAAGTAAAGGTTGAAATATCGATATCTTTTGCGTTGCAGTGCGTGGAACTGTCAGGATCTGGTAAGCCAGCTCCGTTTATCCTTCGGCCATTTTCTAGCCTCTTCAATCCTTACCCTTATGGCTGCTCCGTATTATGTAATCACCCAGCAGACTGCGAGGCAAAAGAGATTCTCCGTAGAGCTAAGGATTCATGGGTACATAAATTTATTACGCCTCTCATTAGCCTAAATAATCGCGATATTTAATAGCGATCAATTTACTATCGTTAAACTGCGGATCTTCATGCATTTATAGAAAATTTGAATCTTCGAGAACCTATAAAATGCAAACAATATGCAAGAATATAAAAAAAAAGATTGAAAGTAATGTTCATGTCATAATATTTCCACAATAAAATAAATTCCTATTCGGGTACAATTTTTCTAGGCACGTTATTACATTTTGTTATTTATTGTGTATTATTATATATATTATTATATATTTGTTATATATTACGTTATTTATTTTGCATAAAGATCCGCAGTCTAATTATTATCAATAAATCCCGCGACATCAAGTGTGAAAAGCTGCTTCGGTTCTTTTAGGCAACCGAAGGAAAAGCGGTGTTGTTGCCAGAAGAAATGGATATGATCAGAACAAGTCTAGCGGCTGCAACTGGTGCGCTCGATGCAAGTGGAAATCCAACGGAAACACGCAACATCGATACAGCTCCCATTCCCGAGGAATTATTTCGAAAATACACCGAAACTGACTCCAGGCCTATGACGCCTGCACCTACGCTTGCCAGCGGACCTGCTTTAACTAATAGACAGATTCAGGAAAAATTCCCGATGACTTGCGTTCCACAAGAACGTACTATGCTCGTCTTAGATCTTAGAGCGAGCTCTAAGAACCAAACGGTTCGTAATTAGTGATAATTGTTACCGAACGGAGTAATACTAGATGTTTATAATCCGTCAACGAGATAATAGACATTATCTATTCCTTAAGCAATGCAAATATTTGTAGGATAAGAACTAATAAATAAGGAATACAACATTTTCATAAAAAATTTATGTAATTAAGACATTGTAAATGAAAGTGGAGGCTTTCATTACAGATAGTATTTTCACACGGCTTTTCTTTTACACTAATTTTATCAAAAATGTTCTGTTTCTAGGAAAATGAATCTTTCACTTGGCACGCTTTAACTTTAGAGCTGCCGCCAACTAATCGGAAAAACAAGATTTTACTAACTAAATCGACTCCTCGACATCAATCGCCGAATCTCCCGACCGATGTGCCATTTCCGAGCCCGATCACCTGTGAACCGGTATCGTATAATTAAATTGATGTATCGGGTATTCGAAAAAGTTCGTGGCGTTTCTCAACCGTTTACACGATTTCATCGCATCTTTGCCATCAAAATTTTGATAGAGCATTTTGTCCGTGAATACCATAAATTCTTTCGCAAACCTGCATAGCATTCTCGAGTTGATCGAGCGACAAAACGCCCACGAACTTTTTCGAATAGCCATCGTTGTATAATTCGTAGAAAAGCCTTGAATCTTTAAAAGTGCTTTTAATTTGTAAAAGTAAAATTTCATAAATTATTAACTATTTTTCATGTACTTGGCGTCGAGACGCTACCGCGTCTCTAGATAAGTAGATGTCGTTCGATATAAAGACTTCGTACTTTCCAAGAGTTCCAGCAGGTACATAGAGGAAGGTGAATCAGGACGAACAAACAAGGAACACGCGGTAATTCACAGAAGGGGAAAGCGATTGCGAAAGGGAAAGTACAGAAGAAGATCAACTTATAGACAACAAACAGAGGTCCATGATCTACTGGAACCAACCGAAACTCAAATATCGCACATAGGAGATGGTTCTAGAAGAACTTCGTTAGTAAAATCTTTTATAACACTCATAGGGCATTAGTGTTTCTCCAAAACTTTTGAATCAGTTTCCACTTTAGCGTACGAGATCATTTCATTTCATGTTCATTACAAGTTTTCATTTCTTTTCTCAGAATTCACACATCCAATGACGACCCAGAAAATTCATCACCGCCCAAAAGGACCTCCGCATTAGCAACCGTGTCCTCTGTAATACCTTCCAGTTTCATTCCACCAGATATCCTGAAACATTTGTGCAGAGAATTGGATCGAGATAAAGTGGAGGGAGAGTTTCTAATCAGGGTGAGCTGAGAAATCAATTATCCGCAAACCCTCTAAAATTCTAATATTCAGGCTTTCAAGGAAAGCGAAATCAAAAGCTTGCATTTATTAAATAAAAATGTTAACGTTCGAATAAAAACGTCCAGTTGTCGCTAAGTAAATAGAAAATTACTTCATAAACATTGTTGATGACACTGACATGTAATAGAATATTAAATCAATGTTTTATGCGGGAGCAGAGAAGAATTGGGTACGAGGAAGCTCTCCGGGCTAAGGGTGAAAGCTACACACGCTCAAAGGGATACCAAACATCCTCGACTCTTGCTATGGCTGGCACGTCACGAGTGTTTTCCCGTCAAGCAGTTCGTTTCGAAATTCTTGACAGTAAAAGTCTGCACGGTTCGTATAATGCCTATCTATAATGATCTACAATTTCAAGATTATAAAATACTTATCAACGTTTATACATTTTAAATTGCTTTAACACGTTGATTACCACACTGATTCACATGGAAATGTGTACAAGATTAAAATTTTCTCTCGAGGCTATTGGCAATTATAGAATCTATCATTTGTCGTATTGCCAAATTTTATATCCCTGTACAAATTTACGAATTCTATCTAGATTCGTTTTCATTAACACTCAGTCCTTAAAATTAATCGTTGTAGTTTCTCAGTGGAAAGCTCTGTCACCCATACATGGGTGACGTGGCGTTCAACGTGTTAAAGAGGGGTTCTGTCTTGTTGCGTAAAAAGAGATGAGCTTTTATTTTTAATTTTATGAAAGTACCTTCAATAATGCACAGTTTAAGTTTCGTTTAAAAATTCGTAAAACTAACAGTGTTATAAGAGAGGTGGATCAACAAGGCAGAAATCCTCATTAATTGAAAATGTCCAAGCAGATTCCCTGAAACAGAATTCGCAATCCTGAAAATAATTCTGTACAAATTCGTTTCAGGAATGACGGTTCTAGAATACATCGGACGGCACGTTTTCGTTTCCCCGGGAAGAAAGTTAATTTTCGGTACAGTTTTCAACAAGTTTCAAGAAGAAGTGTCACGAATTAGCAGACACATATTACCGAAAGATGTTCGCGAAGCTCTACAGGAAATCATTGGAAAGCCGATGACCGAAGAGCAAGAAGCATATTTGAATTCTATGATCGGGGAAATTACAGAGCCGTTGAGTTTTCGAACTTGGTGCGGTTTGTGTGCCACAGCGGAACGATTGTTGTGCCCTTTTCCGCAAAAAGATGTCGATCCTGCATCGTGGTTGGAAAGGGTGGATTTCGAGATGCTAGAACGAAGACTTGAATGTACAGATATAGATCCAAAGCTGCGTTTGTTTCTGAAGGAGATCTACAAAAAATAAAATATTGAAATACGTAATCTCCTAGCTTTGCGAATAATTAATGCTAATGCTAGCTGTTATATAGGGTGTCAGAAAAATGTTGGAGGTTCTTGAAAGGGGTGGTTCGGTGGTGATTTGAAACTACTTTTTCCATAACGAAAATGTTGCCCGAGGCTAAGGAAAAAGTTGTTTCAAATCGCCTCTCGAATCACCCCTTTCAAGGTGTTACAACATTTTTGGGACGCCCTGTATATTCGACCCATTTTTTACCAAACAAGATTTCAATAAATGAAATTTGTGTGCCGGTTCGTACTGTGCGATTACATTTCAGCAAATATTTCTGTTAAACTTATAGTTTCGAAGACATCTGAGGTCCTAACAATTAGTGTTGGTATACGCCCTTCGCAAACAAAGAATCAATCAATGATTGTACTTGGGATTTCCTGTAAAACGAAGAAGGAAACCCTCCCCAAAAATATGATGAAAACCTATACTACCATTTTTGGTTTTAGATACTAACGTACACGCCTTTCTTTTCAAAAATGAATTTTTATAATATTCCCAAACGCTTCTAAGTATACGTCGGTTTGCACCATTGACAACGGAGTGTCAATTGTCTTACCTTACCTCAGGTGTTTTTATCTATCTGTCTGCCTGTCTATGGTTCAGCCCCCAAGAGAACGCAAAGAAGTGGTTTCGTGAAGGTCTGTTCCGTTCAATGTCCTCGTCGTTCCTAGGAAGCGATACCAAGAACAAAAAATTCCACGCCACTCCGCTTAGCAAAATAACAGGTCGAACGAAATCATTTTACGTCTCTCGGTACTCTCGAATTTAATATTTTATTTCGTGCGTTTACGGCGACGGTGGCAATCAAATCGATCGGTTTCGTACCCCCCTTTTCTACAATATTGAAAATCCATTCGAGAAATACGTTGGAAATTCGTGACAAGAGCGCGACAGCGTGAATAAAATATGACGCCGAGGTGAAGTCGGACGATGCATTTGGTTTCACGGTCAGACGTGCTCCGACATCGGACGAGACAATGGACGTGTTCCAAAGGGAGTACAACACCTACTATTCGCTGCTGTGCATCTTAGGGCTGTGGCCCTACAACAATTCGATCCTGGTTAAAGTTCAAAGAACGGTTTTCATTTTCATCATGGTCTGCTGCACGGTGGTACAGGTAATAACATCATCTCAATCTCGCGTGGCATCGTTGAACAAAATTGAACAAAATTGAACAAAATTGAGTTTATTTAGAAGCGATTTGCCGTGTAACAATTAATTACGTGCCGTTAAAGCCGGCGACCGACTTGCAAGAGAACATTGTAATGTAACTGCTCGGCACGAGTTTTACGGTTCGACACCAACGTTACATTATAACTGCGAAAAAATGAAAAATTGGATGGCTTTTTTTTTATAGATTAATGATAAGTTTATCTTAGAAAAGTTCAGAATTAATTTCTACACCTAATGGATTGATTATGTTCATCGCAATAACGGTACACATGCGAACCTCTGAGCTAATCGATAATTAAGCATTTTTTGTACAGGTCAAGTTGTTAATATCGGCTGAATTTAAGTTGAAGAACGTATTCACGGCGTTAACGTCTGGCTGTCCAATCATGTTGTTCTTTATACGCTACGTCGGTTTCATATTTTGTTTCCCAGCGGTAAGTCGGTAAATGCGGCACCGGTCGCTTCCTATTCCTGAAATTAATTTTAAAAAACATTTTAGCCTATGTGTGAAGCTGGCTACTCACTTCGTTCAACCTCATACATCATTAAGAGTTTTGACTTCGTTTTCAATAGTCCTATAGGATTAATAGTTCTATCAACAAATAGTTCTATCAACTAGACCTGACTGATAATTTTGTAAAGAATTTTAACGAGTTCTGATGAAACCACAAGAGTTCTTGGATAGTTTTGAAGTGTTCTATCAGTAAGCCCGCTTAAAACTGTTTAAAAAATTATCTAATAATTCTAATTCTAGTTCTAATTGATAATACTGCTTGATCGATTAGGAACTGTAGAACTATTGGAAACGAAGTCAGAACTCTTAATTAATTATTTATGAGCGTTCGCAAAGTGAGGTGCAAGCTTCAAAGAGATACGATTTCAATCTCTCGTTATCCCACAGACGAGATTGCTCTATGGTAACATAGTCACCGATTGCAATACGCTGAAAAACTCGATCGAACGGGACATACTGATGCAGAATATAGCTGCTTCGAAACGAATTATCCTAATATTCATAAGTGAGTCGTTCGACAACCAATCGCGACATTCGTAAAATAAATATGTTATTGCCATTATAGATCGTAACATTGCGTACTCAGTCACCACTAGATTTCCTTTACATTTAATTTCTTTGGAACTCGAAGTGTCGATAAAACGATCATCGTTGAGGTCAAAGGTGAATAGAATGCTAAGAAACATCTCGAGTTGCTGATAGATACCAGGAAAAAGGCCTCGAGTTCAAAGGGTTAATACTGTCTGGGATAAAATACAAATCATTCACGTCTGACCATTTCTCGCCAACACTACTTACGGAGTTCGTTTACCCTTTGCACTCGAGAGATGACTCTCAGTCACCACTAGATCTTCTTTAGGTTTAGTTTCATTGGAACTCGAAGTGTCGATAAAATGATTGAGGCAAAGGTGACCTGATTCTCAAATCTCAAATCAAGGATCTCATTTTCCAAGTTAATCTAAGCTTAGCATTCGTGACAACAGAATAAGAAAGCACACCTCGAGTGCAAAGGGTTAATCACGTCTTCTTCATCGACTGTCCTGAATTTCAGTAGTATGTTGTTTCGGAATTGTTTGCGTCGTCATACTGTTGATGTTTCCATCGTTCCTCAACTTTCTGGCGTCCAGGAACGTGACGCGAGTAGACTATTTGAAGTTCAGCGGATTCTTCGATGTCCAAGAGAAATACTGTATCGTAGTGGCTATGCATGCAACGCTTACGTCCATGATTGGATTGCTGGTGATAGCGTGTACCGAATCGACGCTCGCAGTTTACGCGTATTACGTATCCGGACTGTTTAGAATTACTAGGTACACAATCGCATTACTCAGCGGTGATGCTATTGCCATTACTTAGTAATCCGTGTTTTACCTTCCTAGTTACCGATTACGAAATGCTGTAGACAACGCTGTGGAACAAATTGTACATAATCACAATGGATCCAATCATAGCAGTATTCCTGAGGCTGTAGCTATACACACGAAATCGATTAAGTGGGTAAAGTTTCTTTATACTTTCTGGCAACAGTTCCTACGATAGATTTTCGTTAAAGGAAGTGGTTAAAAAACGGTTCACTTTCATTCGGGTGCTTCTCTGTTTATCTGTTCACTCGAATTGGGTAACTTCTATATTGGTTATAGAGACTAGACTGCGTATCTTTATGCAAAATACAATCTTCGCGAACGTGCCTAGAAAATTTGAACCTAAATAGGAATTTATTTTATTGTGGAAATATTATGACATGAAAAAAATATTTTGCGAAGTTTACTTTCAATCTTTTTTATATTCTTGCATATTTTTTTGCATTTTGTAGATTCTTGGACATTCAAATCTCCCATAAATGCACAAAGATCCGCAGTCTACCCATGACTCATACGTACCAAATTTCATGTAAATCTAATACTACGATACACAACGAAATTATCTCAAGGTCAGACATTCCGAAATTTCGAGATCATTAGCATTTATTTGAAGTAGATGGGGTCTCTTTATTATTGTAATATTGTAAATAAAAAAAAAAAAAAAAAAAAAACAAATGCAAACACGAGCCGTGTTTGGACCACTTTTTCTACTAAACGTGATTTCTTTTTCTTATTTAATAATCGTGTGATTGTAATATGTCTGTGAATGTAGAATCATCGACGAAACGGCGGCTATGATAACGATACCCTATTTAGTAGCCATTATAGTTGTCGTAGTCTCCTTTGGTTTGAATCTATACCGAGTAAGTATAGTAAGTAATAAATAGACTGCGGATCTTTATGGAAAATAAAATCTTTTGCAAACGTACCTACAAAAACTGAACCTAAATAGGAATTTATTTTACTCTGCAAGTATTAGATTGTCCCGAAAGTTTCATTCGCGAGTTGCGCTCAATTATTTGATGTGGTCGTGTTTATATAAATAGACAATCTAATTTCATAGATATTCATGTTGTAACAGTAACGAAGCAAAATGTATCGTGCACAATTCGGTAATGTAACATAAAACATAAACTATTGTGCATGCATTAGTTATTAATAAAGCGAAAGAAACTTTTGGGACAACCTAATACTACAACATGAACTTTACTTTCGATCATTTTTCTATTATTGGCTACTGTGTCCATCCTATAGTTTCTTGCACGTTCAGATTTCCTATAAACGCATAAAAATCCGCGGTCTAGTAACAATATAAAAATACACAAACTTCTATTCTCCACAAAATATTTTTTTTCGTAACGAGATACATCCGTGAATAAATATCTCCTCTACAACACTCTCCACTAAATTCTTTTAGGATTCGTTCTTTGTAACAGCTTTTTTTAGCAACACTGGACATAGATTCTATAGAAATAATTTTCTCCGGGATGCTGGTTACCATTCACCTGGTGATCATGTTCTTGAATAATTACAACGGACAGAAAATCATAGACGACAGCGGGAGCGTATTTTACGAAACGTGAGTCTGCGTTAATTTCGAACGATGTTCCTGCACCTGAGGGTTTTCCACCTACTGCCGCCTAATCATTGAAATGCATATAAGAAAGTAATGACGCCACGCCGTTTATCGATACAGATACGACACTACGTGGTATAGCACCCCACCGAGTGTGCAGAAACTTCTTTTAATGATAATGCATAGAAGCTCGATCGAATGTGCTTTTAATCTTGCCGATTTGTTTACGCCGAGCTTCATTGGCTTTTCGACGGTAATTGTTTAGGACTGCCTGGACACTTCTGTTCCACGTTAAAAGGCTCTATGTATTTCAGATGATGAGCTCGTCGTTCTCGTATTTCACTCTTCTGTATTCGACGAGGCAGAATGGCAACGATGATCGCTAGTCATCACGATGATTACGACTCTCGAAGGCGACGACGATTACAAACTACTTATTGCGCGATGAGGAATGGTTCGATGGTCTTCGGTTTAGGCGTAAACCTTCGTTCCTTAGATAGACTGTATACAGACTGTTCTATGGCGTAGTAACGAAATATTTTGGTACAGTAAAGACTCGATAAGTGGAAGAAAATCGGGACTTAAGCATTGCAGTTATTCGGTCGAGGTTTCTATTCTGTGTTTATATTTGGCTCGAGTCGAGCGCCGAACGTAGAAAAGGACAGAAAGAGAGAGAGAGAGAGAGAGAGAGAGAGAGAGAGAGAGAGAGAGAGA